TCCTCTTCAGTATCATGCTGTATCTTGGAACTTAGCTTTAGTGTGCTTTGACTTAATTTACTATTTATCCCACTTTTTTGATTTGTTATTTCTTTGATGTTTTAGGTAGTTATAGTGGATCTTGAGCATAATCGCATCACTACAACAGAGGACATTCCTCCCATACCAGAGCCAGAATATAGTACCCTGCGTGGTGACATTATGAAGTTGTTGTATCCAAATGTTGTTGGAATAGACCAAATGAAGTCTACTCGAGCAAATGTCTCCGATCAGTTCCAACGAGGTGGCAACAGACCATGGGGAGAAGAACACGACATTCAAATTAGGTGATTCTTATGTGTCATTTTACAATATTTGTGGTTACTTTTGTTGTCTCAAGGAGGATACTTGAAGTTGTAAGTTAAGGTTTCAAATAAAATGACATATTACTGGTTTTTGTTCCTTTTGCAGATTTACATTCTTAAAGTTCTTTGCATCAATACTTGGTGGCTACCGCAATTTCATAGTAAGAAGCTTATACTTCTAACTAATTGGCGTATCAGGTGAAAGTGCAACTGAAAAATAAGATTTTTCATCACTTTATATCAGGAAAATACCGCAACACAGGTCTTCAACTCTCAGGCTTTCCTGAAGAAGCGCTCTCGGTCAACAAACCAGCCACCAGATTCAATGGTGATGTCGAAGTACCCATCTTGTGTTTGTAGACATACAAATTGATTTAACTTGCTTGTAGTATAAATATTTGGTCCTTTATAAGATATACAGGTTCAACACGTCAAAAAGGGCATGCAGGAATTTAGGATGGATTATTTGATGATAATATGCATTTGTTGATCCTATATGTTACATATATAATATTTGCTTAATCTATACAGGGTGTGTTTTTGTTAAATATTTGATGGGATTCAGTTTATTTTTGTAATGGACAAACAAATAAGACTGATTTTGCATTAGAATTTCATCACAGCATTGAAGGCTAATATCTTGATAAGATAGGGAGGACATAGCTTAGGACTGAGAAGTAAGGAGATTCTGACATTCATGTTCAACTTCTTTTGTTTTGTAAGCCTATTGGTGTGATATTAGTATAGGATGAATGCGACGAGGTCTGTTAAAGCTCAACCTGTAATGAAAAAAATTTCACCTCATCCACCTGCTTTATTTCTAATATATATGTATATTTCATAGGTACACATATACACCTATACTTTCATGTGCTTTTTCTGTATGGTTATTGCTTCTGGTGTCACCAAACTTGTGTATTTATTTTCTTTGTACTTTGCCAACAGATAAGTCAGTTTTTAGAATCCCAGGGTTTCTTGGATTATTTGGAGAGAGGTCTTGGTTCTGAAGAAAACAATAATAATCTCCTCGATAAGTTACAAGATGCAATTGGCAGGGGTCAAAATCCTCTTTCAGTTCTTCCTTCACTTATGGCAGAGCCAGAGATCATAACTATATCTGATCCGGGTGTGGGGATTTCAGGTATCTTTTCTTATTATTGTGATGTGTCTAAATCATGTTTGATGAACATATGATTGTTGGGATGGATACAACACTGATGTAAACCCCCCCTTTGCTCCAAAATAAAAATTAGGATCAGGTGCCAAATACTGTTATGACAGGTTTCCTGCAAATGTCAGAACGGAAGAGCAGGAGGAAAAGAGGAAGCAGATTCTAGCAGCAGCAAGTGGAGCACTTGAATATTCTGGGAGGCATACTACTAGGTATGTCCTATGTTATTATGCGGGATTTCTCTGGATGTTAACATCATTTTGCTTCTCTAAAATGAAAATTAATTTTTCCTCCATTTCATTAGTTCACTTTCAGTACTTGCTGGAAATGATTCAAAGGCCGAAAGTCTAAGCCCCAGAGAGCGAGCTGTATGTTCTCTATATTTTGCTTGTGATGTCTGTGATTCACTATTTTGTCTCTCTCAACCCAGTTTTTTTTTCCTTCCTTACAGGCAGAGAGGGAACGTATGGTTTTGGACATAAAAGTTAAGCTTCAGGTGAAGTATTTGTTACCCTTTTTATATCAGATGCTTCCTTCTATATATTCTTTCTCCACCAACTTTACACGGGAAATTATGAGCTTATAAAAGAGCCCTTGTAAAGTATTAAATTGACTATAATATTTAGCTTTCTTGCCAAAGTTTTTTTTGATTCCGACTTAGGTTTCTTTTGTCTGCTCTGTATATGTACCTGCACTTCTGTGGCCTCGTGGATGCCTCTTACTTTTTTGATGAAAGAAAAAAGACTTCTCATATAGATCTTTAATTCCATATCTGCAATTGCTTTTCCTTAAAACAGGGATTGTGGGTACGCCTTGTGAATTTGGGACAAACTGATGATCCTCTTTCCTCCTTTGAATATGGAACCATCCTCGGTATTTTTCATATATCCCAGAATTACTGGCTTTTTTATGGTTTATGCTGGTATAGTCTACTGTCCTAGCAAATGAAGAACAGGCTAATTGGTTGAATATTTGTGTTTTTTATCAGCACTTATTGAGTCAGATGCTGAAGGAATTGGTGGTAGTGGTTTCGTTGAATGTATAAGAGAGCACATTCATTCAGTACGTAGCTTCAAATCAGCACTGTTATCTAATCATTTGACATGCTTTGTGCACTGACTTCCACCCTTTGCTCCACATATTCATAGGGTTTGAACTGTCAATTGTCAGAGGAGCAGTTTATTGCAGTCAAAGAACTGGTAAAGTGACACTTCCCACTTTTAAGTGATACTGTTGACAATTTTCTTCAGTTTTCCCCTCTGAGATGACATTTTTATTTGATTTACAACTTCATGCAAGACTCCTTAACTAGCACTTTTACTTTTAAGTGATACTTTTACTATTCAGTATGCTTTCACTTTTGTTACTTCTTTCAAATGGCTTTGGACTGTTTTATTGTTGAGCCGAGGGTTAATCAGAAACAACCTCTCTACCTCTAAGGTATGTGTAAGGTCTGCGTACTCTCTACTATCCCCAGTCACCACTTTGTGGGACTACACTAGGTATTACGTTGTTGTTTTACTCCCTCACCTGTCACTAGAAATATCACAATCTATCCTGAGTATTCCCTCTTTCAGCTAGTTTGCCAAGAGCCCAACAGGAGCATTCATGGACTCAACTTGTCTAACATATACTTTTTCATACAACTGCAGCTGAAAACAACAATTAATCTTGCTATGTCTAGGAATGACATGGCAACTGTCAGAGATGCCCTGGAAGTCTCTGCAGAAATGTACAAGAAGGATATAAACAATGTCTCTGACTATGTTCAACGACATCTTCGTTCTCTTTCTATCTGGGAGGAGCTACGGTATGTTTCTGTCAACTAAATAATACATCATAAGTTGATGTTTCATAAAATATGTCACTAGTTGATGTCTTCTTTTCTGGTGTCATGTTAAATTACACAGTACAATCAAGGTAATAATAAGATCATATATGTCCATATATGACCAATCAAAGTCCCCAAGGCTTTCATCTAGTGGTAAGAGTACGACATGTGATGTGTGGGTTTCGAACCTTGTTGTAAATAAAAGCCTAGTTTTATAGTGGATAAGGGTAGAGGGCGGGCCCACTATCTGTCCAGTTTCAAACTTTACACCGTTGGCCCTTGGTATTTCTTGGTTATAAAAAAATATGTGACCCATCAAAGTATTCTTTCTGGAATTTTTACCCCTATGGTCTTCGAATATCCAGGTGCTATCTCCTTCATATATTTTTGAATATTCAGCATAATTTATTTATTTTTGAAATTGTTGTTCAGCATAAATTTTATTTCAATCCTAACTAGCTTTTATTGATTAAATTATAAAAGAGCTTCCACAAGTTTCTCCAAACTTACTACTGGAACTTTGAACAATTAGCGTATCACAATGGTTGAACTTTAAAGGATTAACTTTGTCCTTTTACCTTGTAATCACTATGCCTCAATTACAAGGGTGTCTTTTTGAATTGTGTGTTGGTAATATATAGGAACTAAGACTGAGGTTCATAACTTTTTTCAAACCTTTGTCTTTTTTCCTTTTTCTTTGATAGTCTATCAAAGTTTGAGGAGTCTGTATGAGGTTTCCGACTGACATCTCCACCTTCATTTTGCAGTTTCTGGGAAGGATACTTTGATTGTCTACTGGACCGTTATTCTAGCAAGTAAGCGATTTATTCATCTATGCTCCATACAAGTTTATATTACACCCATCATTATCTGTATGCTTCGTTTTGGCATATTAGCATTTAACAAGTCTTGCCTTGTTTTCCTTTTCAATGACGGTTATTTGGATTGATAATAATTTCTCTAAATGAATTACTGAAGCTAGGATGCGACATGTGGATTACGAAATACTTAGTGTCATTAGCTGAACTGCAGCATATATGTTGTAGACACTGTAAATACCGTCTCTCCTACATGAAAGAAATTCCAAGAGATTCCAAGGTAAGAGGTTTGTATGAAGAATTAGTCGGCGTGACAATACAATATAGGAAGAAGTTGTCCGACAGACATTATTTTATAAAAAGTTGTTGTCCGACATACATTATTTTATAAAAAGTTGTCTGAGATATAATAAGGCAAGGGAGAGTCAATTATTTTACATATACTAGCAATGTCCTCTCAATTGCAATGTTGAGTATTAATGATGTAAAAATCAGCACTAAAAAATAGTCTGATTTGTGCAGGGTTACAGTAACTGGGTGGGGGGTCGATTCACATTCATTCTCCATATCATGCATTAGTTTATATCTCTCCAAATAGAATCAGTTGTCACCTAGGCAGTATACTTTTTTTTTCAATCATTGGCAATAGACTAAGATGACCAAATAAGATCATCATGCTGATGAAAACAACTTGAACATCTTCAAACAAGATCCAAAAATAAGACATGCCAATTACATTACTTCTGTTAAATTACCATATAGTAACTTGCAAGAGACCAAGAATATAATTTGCAGTATGGATATCAAAAAGGACATGGTAGCAGATATCCACAAGAGAATGTATCAGGAGACAGGTTTAAAGACTGTTTAGTGCTGACAGTTCATTTATGCTCCAGAAACATGAACATTGCTCACTTATAAAGAGAGTTCACCATAAGAAGCAACACCTTTTTAATATTAGCAACACTCATCAGCAATAGCAAGAAAACGGAATTTAAAAAGTTTTGGAAAATAAATGTTGATCCTTTTCCTTTCCACCTTGCAAGGCGTAGTGAATAAGGAAATAATTTAAGTTGTCATTGAATTCAAAAGAAAATCAATCTTTGTAAGAATCAAGCAGGACTCTTAATATACAACTTGCAGCTTCCAGTTGAGTCTTTTCACATCTCTCTATTACTCCCTCCCAAATAGCTTCAGAGTTATGCTTTGTCTTCAAGGTTAAGCCCACATATATTGTTGATACATTTTTTTGATGCCATGGGATAGTAGCTAGCTTCCGCAGATCATAGACAGAGTTGACTGGAGTTAGAGGCGGTTAATGCTATGTTGCTCGAACTCTCCAAAAATGATTTTGCACCCGTGTTGGATACTTGGGTTCTCCTAAAATGAACTACTTTTGAAGGATCCAGCGCATACCCATCAACATTTTTGAAGAGTTCATGCAACATAGTTTGGACATGAATTGAATGATATTTGAAAAAAGGTAGTATTTGAAGTAAAGCTGAAATGGCTATTCGGAAGTTGAAGCTGTGTTTCGACATGTATTTTACTTGTAAAAATGTTAAAAGGTATTTGGAATGAAAAAAATTGACAACATGTGTCATTAAACAGGTTCTTAACATTTTTTTTTGTCCAAACGTGCCCTAAGGCTCTTGGCCCAATTTTCATGAATTCTTGATACACCTTCAAAACCACCAAGGATTAGTCTCGTATATCTTGTCTTTCCTCAAGTTCACAGGAAAAGTGTCATTAGAAGGTGTGAAATTACCTAATTATTTTCTTGCCCACAGTTAATTGTGGAACTCTTGATCCAATCCTCAGTTATAACAAAGTTGAGCATTCTGTAAGCCCTTTCATAATTCATAGGAACAAGAAAGGAGAAATTGATCTCCTCGTCTTTAGCCCCTTTAAGTTGGAAAGGATGCTTGGGTATAAATTCTCCCTGCGTGTCAGTGGAGAAATGCATTTGAAATATTTGTGGTTCTTGTTGAAACATGCATTGCATGTGCATTAAAACCATTCAAAGCTTAGATATCTGCTATGTTTGCTTTTTTGCTGGTCTACATTCTCATTGTAGTTTGTCAAGTACTCAAGTTATCTATCATTGCTTTTCATGTATCCAACAAAATTGTTAAGAAGCTACTAAGCTGAGAGACATCTTCAACCCTATGTTTGAGTGATATAATACTTAAGAGATTAACCCTTGTTTATGCACTACTCCCCCAGAAACAGTGCAGTCCCGTGATCTTGGCGTCACCTTCCTTAACAAGTTTCTAGGCGTCTTTTGTGCTGCCATTTTCAATTATACTTAGATTTGACCCAAAAGGGAAAAAATGAAGGAGAAAGTATGCATGATATTTCAAATCTATGTTCTCTTTCTGTCAGGTCAACCAATTATGCAACTTTGGTGACAACCCAGCTCATTGTTCTGGCTACTCACATGGTACATCTTATCCTCATTGTGAAGTAGAAAGTTGTTCCACCCAATTGCTTTTGGGATGATATTTTCTCTTCTGAATATTGATTCTCTTCCCTTGTTTTTTTGAAGGCTGGCCTTGGACTTCATGATACTGATGCATGGTACATGATTGAAACAATAGCTGGGAAAAACAACATTGGGTACAAGCACATTGTGAGTTATATTAGACTTTCTCTCATGTCCCTAATCCGCCTCTCTTCTTTTTGACGTGGAGGTGTTTCTGTAGGTTTGCCATGTTAATGTTAGCTTATTATTACTTGTAAAAATGGAATGTTTCCTAGGGCGTTTCTATCTGTTTCTTGCTATAGTTGTGTAAATCTAACTCAATATGCTGAGGAATACAACATTACTGGTTCCAAAAAAAACCCAAAAAAAAACCAACATTAGCCAGGCTAGTTAGCTCCTTTTTACCCTGGATCCGTAATGCAGGAATTCTATGACTGGGCTGACATATTTTTTGGTCTTTTCATTTGATTTTAACCTATAGCTTATTTGTCATAGTTAAAACTTACTAATAATCACTTGTTGTCACACAGATTGTAATGTTATTTTTTAGTGCGTTATGAGAATCATTGAAGAATGTTTTAGCTGCTGCTCTGTTTAATTTTTGGCACTCTACCTTCTGCGCTTCTGGACTATATTGTTATTCAATTGTCCGTTTCTTCAGCCTTGTTCTCCATATTAGTAAAAGTTGGTAGTATTTGCATGCTTTAAGCATGTTTTTTGCTCAAAGTACTTGACACCATGTTTAGAACAAGTTTTCGAGGAAAAGAAAAAGAAAGGGTCTTAAAAGATTGAATAATGGACTTCAGTGTTGCTAAACTTTCTTACCTAATCTGTTAATTTTCTAATTTATTGTCAGATAAAACTCCGTGGATATTTATCCCATGTCCGGCATATGTTTGTTGGTTACTGGGGAATCCACTCAGTTAAGTTACAGTCTGCATCTACCTTGGGATTACTTTCCCCGCGAGCACAGGATGCATCTGATGATGCTCAACAACCTGCTGAGGCATCTGGTATCGGAAGAAGCTGGGTCCAGAGCATGTTCAGCAGAGATACGTCAATAAGAGCCAAGTCTTTTGGTCGTGTTGGCAAATGGTCTTCTGATAGTGGTACTCTAGGCATGTAGTATTCCTTCTATTTTGCACACTATGTTTCTTCCCTGTGTTGCATACTGAGATTCGCTATTCTATTAACTTCAGCTTCAAGCGAGAACGGGACGCCTCGAAAACAAGATCTATCAGCAGCTGGACAAAAGAAAATGCAGACCAGCATCCGTACATTAAGGGGTCATAGTGGTGCAGTTACCGCTATACACTGTGTGACGAAAAGAGAGGTTTGGGATTTAGTTGGTGACCGAGAGGATGCTGGTTTCTTTATTAGTGGAAGCACAGACTGCACGGTACAGATATATGAATTATTGAGTCTGAATGTTTGTTTATAATTATTACCTTTGTCATGGTCCAATTTTCCTTATGCTGTAAGACCCAATAATTTCTTTATTTTAGTTGTGAGATAATGTATTTCTAGTTTTAAAAAATTCTTAATGTGTCTGTATTGAATATTGGATTGATATGGACCCCATAGAGCAGAACAGATACAGATGGCACATGGAACTGACTCCAACTAGTTCGATATTGAGCCATAATGAGATGAATAGTGATTTCCATCTTTCCTTATGCCATAGCTTCCAATCACATGCACAGTGAACTCAGACACACATTTATTTGTGTATGTGTGTATAATATGCATTCTATTATCAAACCAATTAGTAATATACCCTCCTATTGTAAATTACATGCATTTAATGTTCTCATAAAGACATTCAAAACTAAAATAAAAGAGAAACAAGAGTCAACCATGTAATGCTTAAATGAGTTACCTATTGTGTATGACATGATTATCTTGTAGAGATAGAGAGCAGCAGTAGTAAATTCAAGTGTTTGTGATCTTATTTTGCCATTTTAGTTATTGCTCTGGCAAAAATTATGCAGGTGAAGATCTGGGATCCTAGCCTTCGTGGTGCTGAACTTAGGGCTACTCTGAATGGTCACACAAGGTAAGATTATATGTACTTTCTTCTCATTGCTGGTGTTTAGCTTTGCTTTCAACTTACATATAAGTTTTGGTTATCTCTTTCATTTTCCACCACTTGAAGTTGAATGTAAGAGTTTCTTGAGCTTCTCCTTTTTTTAGTTTCTTTAATTTTTTCATCTGTCTTCTTTACAGGACTGTTAGGGCAATTAGTTCTGACCGAGGGAAGGTGGTATCAGGATCCGATGATCATTCTATTCTTGTATGGGATAAACAAACAACACAACTACTTGAAGAATTGAAGGGCCACAATGCACAGGTTCCATTCAATCTCTTCATGTTGAATGTGCTCAATCCTTTTGTTTGATATCCAAATAGAGAATGATTCTTTTTTTGCTTGCCTTTTGGCAAGTATTTTCATTTATGGACTTCAAAGCAGTGAACAAGTGCAAATGTGGTGTAATTTAACATAAAGGAAAAGTAAAATCTCAAACTGAACTTGTACGATCTTGTACCAATGTTGCTAATGAACTGAAATGGTGTTGAAGTGGAATATAGACTAATCAGGAACCTAAGTTGTTTGGTATCTCTATAATTCTTGCATAATTCTATGGGTTGATTTTATCATTCTTATAATGACAATACTTCTTACTTTATTTCTTCTTAGACCATCTCCAACCCAACACCAATTTTTACACCAAATCCTAAATTTTGGCGTTTAGCTCCAACCCACACCAATTTTTACACCAAATCTGGTGTAACACTATTCATCACACCGATTCATTTTTTTAATATTTTAATATTATTTCATTATACAAACTTTTTATCAAACATTATATAAATGGTATGTTTTAATTAAATCTCTTGTATATTTAATTATTTTTATGTAATATTTTTATAATATTAATTTTAGATATGAAATTTAGCTTTTTTATAAATTAATTTTTCTATGCATGGCTTTTTTAAAAAAATTAAATTTATGTTAATTCTACTATAAATTATAATTGAATATAACTAAAAATTAACATTCACAAAAATTAAAAATGCACACATATAAATTTTTAACCAAATAATACAATGTACTTAAAAATAACCGAAAATAATAAACTTCATGACTGTCACGTTTTTGAAGAAAAAAAGTGCTACATGATATATTAACTTCATGTATTATAATGGACACCATGATAATTGAGGATGAGTTTGATCTTAATACACTAATCAAGATGCGTCAGAAGATCCAAATCCGACCTTAGAAATGACAATAGATGAAAATTATCAATTTCAATAATTTCTAGCTTGACATAAAAAATAAATGACAAAGAAGCTTATTTTGAACTACGTAATGCATTAATAGAGCATTTATGGGAGCACTGTAGTGATCTTGAAAGTTGAATATTATGTAGAATTTTTAAAATAATTTTTTTAATTA